TTGTTGATAAATTTTGATTCTAATAAATATGAAAAGGAAAAAAAAGTCAGAAACGCCTTAAGGGCGTTACGTTAGGGGCGTGTTCTTAGAGTTTTAATATGATTGGGTCCAATTATTGGGACACAAATAAAAAGAAGATTTTAGTTTTTTGTTGTAGTTTTTAGTGATTTTATTATAACAAGTTAATAATAACTGTTTCATATTTTACAAAATAACTTTTCACAATAAATTATATAAAGAAATTTTTAAATATTTATCTGCATGTTTTAACAAAGCAAGTTTATAAAATGTTACGTTTTACTTTTACAAACTACTGTTTTAATTTGTACCACGTCAAATAAATCTCAAAATCATTCTTTATTGCTAAAATATTTTAAATTGGTTAATTAATAACCACTTTTAGTTTTAACGAGTTGTGATTTTTATGCATTATTGTTATTTGTGTTTTGTTGCGTTTGTGATATTGTTAGTTGTGCTTTGAAAATTTAAATATTAATTATTATTTCACTTTTGAAATGCCGTATTCAAAGCTAAGTCACAGTCAAAGTAGGAGTAAAGTTTGTTTAATTAATTTAAAAGGATTTTAAGTAAAATACAAGTAGGAAGTGTAGTTTTATTGAGTTTTCCAAAATTTTTCATTGACAACAATTTAAATGATAACCGTTTTCCAAGTGGAATTTGTGGAAGATGTCAAACTAATTTTTTAAAAATGGAAAAAGGTAATATAGCTTTATGTAAACCATTTGATTTCTAAGATCAAAGAAACTATTCTTACAAGAAATCAACAGTTTTGCCAATGTGATATTTGCCTTAATGCTAGTAGTAATTTAACACGTGAATCAAATATAGAAAAAAGAGGAAGACCAAAACTCAACATGAAAGTTTTACCCTCTCCTGGACCAGTTAAAGTTTGTAAAAGATGTTTAAATTTTATTGGATTAAGATTAGCCCACACCTGTTGTATTACAAAAAGAAGAGAAAACCTAATGAAGCAACTAGATGAAAGTAAAAAAATATTAATTTCATTATCAAGTTCCTATTAAATTATAATAATTATTCCATAGTAATAATAAATTTTATATTGCAAATTTTTATTTAGATGATAGAGGTGCCGAATTGCAATGTTCCAAAACACTTAAACAAAAATTTGAAAAACTAGGCAATTTAATTAAGGTTGCAATATGCAGAACTTCAATTAGTATACAAAGACCAAAAACGTCTTCCAAAGCATTGTTTACTGATTCACCGATACCTTCAAATAAAGTGAACAAATTAAAAAATCCATGTGGTCTCAGTAACACAGAAGGTGCTAAAGTTTTAAGTATTTTTAGAAGTTGGAAAGGTCGCAAATCATTTTAAAAAAATACAAGAAACAAACTGATTACAGATGACGCCATTTTAAATGAATACTTTGATGTAAGATTTGTTAACCCTTTCGTGACGCGTGACCCGTATAGCGGTTCATAAAATTTTTATCTAAATGACAAGTGATCCTCATGTTGGTGCATAAACAATTTTAAATATTTCAAAACATCTAAAGCAATTGGAAAAAACTTTAAAACTATCTTTGAATTGTGAATAATTTCTTTAGTTAATGCTTCAAACCGTTTCTTAATTGCATTTATAGATTGCTCAAAAATCAATTTTAAAAAATGACAAAGAACAGATTATATTATATTGATAGAAATGAAATCATTTATATTTTTTACAATGATAGTGGTGGACATTTTTTTGTTTGATCAGCACTATAAAGGCTTCATTAATTTAATATCAAAAATGATATGTTTATCTATTTATTTTTATTTGTTTAAGTTTACATAAAGAAACTATATATTTTTGTTAATTTTAACATAATATATTTTGATCAAGTAACTAAGATAAACAAATTTTTTTTAAAGTTTTTGAATATTCTGAAAATCAATTATTAGACAAAAAAAAACAGGGTCTTGTTTTTAAAATTCTGACTAGTAATTTTAATTTTACACTCTTTCAATTGATCATGATTCTAGTTCTTTATTTTACGCGCAGTCATGTAGCTGTTTTTAGCTCAGTCGCGAAAGGGTTAAATTTGATGACGGTGAAAAGGTGATTGCTTATTGCAAAGATATTCTTGTACTGGTGGAAAATATTGTCAAAAAAGGAAATATTTTAATTGAGTACATTTTAAAAGTTGGCATTGATGGGGGAGCTGTATTTTTTTAAATTTGTTAGATCGTTGCGAGGTATCTAAAGCAAAGGTAAAAAAATTCAGTTATGACAAAGGCATATAAATAGAAAGATGGTGGGGTTAAAAACTCATTGTTATTGCACTTGTAGAAAATTTGCAAAGTTTTATGCAAATATAAAAATAGTAATCAATTTTAATAATATAAACAGTATTAAGTATTTTTGTGCTTTCGATATGAAGTTGGCAAATATTTTTTTTGGAATAGAAACTGCAGCCTTAACTCATCGTTACCTTTGGTGTATAGCTAGCAAACATGACTTTCAAAATTTTGAATTTAAAGGTGAACATAGAACGCTTGGAATAATTAGATTATCAGCTAATAATTACAAAAATGCCTGCAGAAATAAAGTTAAAAAATCAAAGTTATCTGCAGTACCCTATCATAACTGTGTAGACCAACCACTTATCGATTTACCAGATGAAACAAAGGTTATAAAACCTCTTGCTCCGACGGAACTACACCTCCTCAGTGGAAACACCAACAAACATTTTAATTATCTTGATACATATACAAAATTTAAATAATTTTGTTTCAAAGCAGAGGAGTGGAATAAAAAACTGGGCTTTAAAAGACCAAGGCTTCATGGTGGGCAATTTAAGGGAGGACAATCTTCAAAACTTCTTGATAACATAAATATTTTGAACAATTTGATCAAATCTTTTTCATTAAATAATGATGAACATCTTTCTTTCATACTACAGGCGTTTAAATGCTTGAGAGAAGTTAAAGTTAATTGTTTAGCGATGACTTTAGAACCCGACTACAAAACAAAAGTAAAAGATTATCAAGAAGCCTGCTATAAACTTGGAGTAAGAGTATCACCTAAAGTACACGCTTTAGTAAAACATACAGTAGAATTTTTAAAAATGGTGTCAAGTGATTATTCAAACAAAGGTCTTGGCTATTGGAGCGAACAAGTTTCTGTAAAATATGAAAAAACAGTTATTAAAAACCTATTAACTTATTATAATAAATATCAATAAAAACCACAACAAAAAACTAAAGTCTTCTTTTTATTTGTGTCTTAGTGACTGGACCCTATCATATTAAAACTCTAAGAACACGCCCTTAAGGTAACGCCCTTTAGACGTTTATGCCTTTATTTTTGCTTTTCATATTTATTAGAATCAAAATTTATCGACAAATTTTAAATGCCATTCCAAAAATATACCGTTTAGAAGTTGTGACCTTTTAAAGTTATTTTTTGGAGTTAATCGAGAAATAGAAAACTAAAAACAATAATAACTTTTTAACGAAAAGAGATTTTTGTATGAAATTTTAAATCTGTCGATTAATTTTAACCTAGTTAAAGAAAAAAAAACTTTTTTTTCTATTGAAACCATACATACTAAACCAAATTTTAGGTTTAGTATTGTTTCCAGTATCCGATCGTCGCAATTTTTTCTAAAACATTCTTACTTTGCATCAGTATGATTATTACAAAGTTTTATGAAAGCACCATTTCTGGAAGTTATCTAAAATACTAAAAACTCTGGACCAGCTTGTTTAACCCCTTTTATTTTTTAGATATCGACAGAATATTTTCAAAATCTAGGTCATAACAGAACAAGGTACGGTGGTTTTGAAAATGTAATCCGTTTCTGGTGTCCTTTTTTTCTCGTAAGAAATATTTCCACTAGTGTGTGTAAGCTATCTAATGATGTATAATATGCTTTTGGTCCACTGCACAGTGGGCTAGAATTGTCTAAAATGACAAAACTATTTATATGGTTAATATAGACATGGTACATGTTTATAGAGGTTTTTTTGGGCTAAGAATTTCATTTTTGGGCTTCATTTTTATTTTGGGGTGGTCATGACTACACAAGTGGCCCATAAAATGGAAAAGCAGTAATTTAATTGTGAAAAATAACTATTTTTCACAATTAGATTACTGCTTTTCCATTTTATGGGCCTTATTTAAATGAACAAAAACACATTTGACGCAAAACATGCCCAATGTTTTAAACGTCCCAGATTGTTTTTTGAAATAATCCAAAATTTTCGATGGGTTTGCTATGATTTAAAAGTAAACCGCCCACATGTTCTTATTACAAACAAGTTGGACATATAATTAAAATGCAAAAAACCAGTTTGCTCAAAAGGAAAAGCCGCACAGAATTTGGTATTTAATTAGATGTTGGAACCTTTTTGATTTTTTGAGTAATGTTTTTATTTTTAAGGAATTGCTGTAAAATTTTTGATGTAAAACCAGTAATCAAAACTGTATTATGCATTTAAAACAGAAAATAAAAAATAATTTCAGTTGTTGTACCACACAAACAGCAATAACCTTGGTCAAAAATAAAGATATCAACCTCATTTTTCTTTCTTTTTGATTATTTTACTACTATGCAGCGGTGCTAATAACTCCATTTCTGAGATTTGGTCACCTTACCTATAGGGCGCCTCATACTAAAATGGTATTAAAATTTACGAAATATCAAACTAAGTTGAAAACAGTTTTAAAATGCGCTATCAGATTATTTCTACAAAGTTTTTCTTTCTAAAATTAAAAAAATGTTCTCGTGAAAAAAAAGTCTGGGTAGAGAAAAGGCATGTGCCCACCAGCACAACCGGAACTACACAAATGCTGAATAGTTTCAGAGAAACGGGTAACGAAAAACAACACGTTAAGTTAAATAAAGTTTTACATCCTTAATGCCAGATGTTTTGAAGTGCAATAATGACAAAAAAAAAAGATTTCTATAAATCATCCAAAACAACGTTTTATTTTAAAAATTTTATCAAATAATAATAAAAAAAAATCCG